CAAAACATCAGCAAAAATGTCTGATTATCAGCAATGACATTTAGAATAGATTTATTGGCGAGACTATAATTTATGAACGAACAAATCAGGCGTAAGATAACAGGTCTCGGGTTTTTGACACAAAATTCACTCATCCATTTAGCTGAATAGATTCATGGAATTATAACTGATGTCAGTTTGTGATGAAAACCTTAAATGTAATTCCTAACCCTAACCATCAACTGTAAATCATAATTCTAATTCCTCTCACTGATTTATAACCCTCATTTAGTCCTAATTATCAGGTGAACACTCTCAAGGTCATGTTAGCGTCGCTCAAAGGTCGTTCATAAATTATATTCTCAACAGTTTATTAGAAACCCATGACCAATAGTTCTGTCTTCTAAAATGTTATTTTACTTGAGATTTGTAAATTGTTTTTAAGGACAACTCTAGAAATATCTTTGTATTTTATCATTCCATTAAATTATCAATGACAAGTTCATCTTAGTTTATCATATAAATGAAATGATTGGTATGACATTAACCAACTATCAATTCATAGATTATTACATATCTAATTGTTAATTGTATATTCATTTCTAAATTTAAATATTAATGGGAACATTTTCAAATAAGACTGTAGTTATGACAAGGAATTCACTAAAAGTTTTGTTTTACATTAATGTACATGAGATTTCTATATTCCAGTAAGAAAAAGAACATTTAAAATGTAGACATCATTAATATGAAAATCATTTAGTTAAGTATAATAATATAACTAATACAATAAGAAAAAAAAGTATAAGCTGAATGAAATATTTATGATTGGTTGTGGCGTCGGAAACAAATATTTCCCCTTTTGATGAACATTGTACAAAACCCAAATAGATTCTACCACGTAAATTGTTCTTTACATTTGTTTATAAAAGTAATTCTTATCTTCTAACTAGAACATTGTAAAATAGATTAGAATTTAGTTTTAAAGAATGTAAAGTATTCTATGTAAAGTCATTACTAAAGTATAGAGGTTTTTTATTCATTTATAGAGTTTAAATCAATAAGTTGAAAGACAATGAAATGACTTCTTTTTTTTCAATGTGGAAATTAAAATGACTTTAGAAAATCTAATGAATGTCAGTATTATTACAAGGAAAAGTAATGGTTAGAATCATGTAAGAAAAGATTTTCTCTGATTCTATACACATTTAAATCTTTATCAGAAGGGATTTTTGTGGATATTATAGTAATTTCAATAGATGAGATCATGAGTCAGTTGAAGCTAGACCACCATAGAAAACCTGGAAGCACTGGACGAACATTTCGTCCTACTTTGAAACTCCTCAGCATTGCACATCCACGACCACACCTCACGGAATTCGAACCCAGAGCCTATCAGTCTCGTACAGGAGCGCCTAACTTCTAGACCACTGAGCTGGCTGGCATCCAACGGCGCTAATCACTAACTCCAAGTAATCCACGAAATTGCGTAACCGTCCAACATTATCATTAGTGGGATAAAATCTCACAACAGACCCGGTTGATGTCCACTGGCCACTGCTTCTCACTAGAACTCCAGGAAATACCTATTGAAGCCAGTCCCTAATGAGTGTATGCTGATTATTATCAGAAGGGGTTTATGTGGATTTTATAGTAATTTCAATACTTGAGATTATGAGTCAATTGAAGCTAAACCACCATGGAAAACCTGAAAGCACAAAGAAAGCAATTTCGTTAGTCAATAAATAAACCACTGATAAGAATTCTCATAATCATTTTGGATGAATTATATATATGAGTTTTTCTTAAAATGTAGACAAAATTTTATTGACAGCTGTGCAAAAGTTACTTCTCTCTCTTGAAAGTATATACTTCTGAACATAATTGTGTTTTTCTTTTTCCACTTAAAACTCCAAACGTTTTACTCAAGAGTTTACTTAGATGTCAGATAATCAAACAATAAAACTTATCAGTATAGATTGTGAAGATTATTGAGTTTTTATTGAGATCATGATCCGATCAGTGTTAGGCCACCATTAAAAACTTGAAAGCATTGGGTGGCAGTATCGTCCTAGTACGGGACTCCTCAGCAGTGTGCATCCAAACCTCTACTTGTAGAGCTCGAACACAAAACCTTCGGTCTTGTGTGAACCCTTAACTTCTGGACCACTGAGCTGACATCCAATGGTGTTAATGGATAACTTTGACTAATGCGCGATGTTGCGCGACCATCTTTCATCGTCTTTTGTGGATAAACGCCTCACACTCAACACCGTTGGACTCCACTGGTCACAGCTTCTTAACAGAAACCTGAGAATTACTTGTCAACGTTTATTTCAACATACATTTAAATATTTGGTCCTGAAAACCAAATCAAAGACTTTTTCACTGCTTTTTATATTGCTTAGAGAATCAATGAAAAAAAAACAGAACTGAACGAAATTGTTTTATATTATAACACAGTTTTCTTTACAGATAAGTGTTATGATGTGAGCTATGGATACTAACAGTAACAATTTTGATTATTAGTTTAAAAATAATCAAAATTGACTTCTAATAGAATCAAGATCCTTCATTGATACTCTATGCTTTTTGGTTTTGAATAGGTTCTAATCTGATTGTAGTCTTTCACAAAAGCACATTTCAGTCAGTACATGTCTGTATGAAAAGCTAAACTGAATAATAATTTCCTACTGTCAGATAATACAGTGATAAAAGAAAATGTTTCATACAGCTTAAAGCTTGAGAAAGTGAATAACTGAATAATAATTCTAATTTTAATCGTTTAAAGATCCCCGTCATATTTTAAAAGTACAGGCGATAACCAATGTTCACGAAATTCTGTGCGGTTTATTTTCAAAAAGTGAATTTATCGCCATGAATTTGACTGTTTTACATATATGTTCAAGATGATTAGTACTGTCTTACAATCAAGTGAGCTCATGCTTTATCATGTATCAATTCAAGAAAAACAATTCCATTAGTAAGCATATTATTTCACTCTCCTGACCTTTGAAGAAACAAGATATGATGACTTTAGAATTCAGGAATCAATAATACCACGAGACTGGAACTGGTAGTAAACATTTTCAGGTGAATAGCAGTTAACCTCTGGTTAGAAACATTCAATAAATATTTTTAATAATTACAAACTGAACGCATATTAGACGGTTATTAGTTTTACTTTTGAATACTATTCACTAAGAATTGTCTAAGCAAACCATTATGTTCCATGGCCGGTCAAATATCAGATGATAAAATTGCCAATCAGAAAACTGACTTCTATGACTTTATCCCTATGCTACACCAATGATGAGTCAACCACCACCAGCAGCCTTAGGTCAACTCTGAATCTTTATTGGTACTCTGTATGGTCACTTTTCATCTAGCCAAGCCTATTCAGCCCAGAACACAAATGCAAACAGAATATTAAATAAAGTAATTATTATGATAATTATTAATCAATTGATTTTATGCTGTCTGTTATTGATCTAACTAAAGAGATTATAATTACAAAATTTTTTTGTTTTCAAATTGAATATAACCCGCTAAACTCTTTGAAAAATTATTGTTTACTATGTGTCGAAAGTATTGATGATATTACATTTCAGCCTACCATTATAGGTTCGTTATATGAAAAAGTTCACATACTTTCGACAAGAAGGCTTGAAATTTCATTGAAATTTATTAGAGAAACACTATGTTCATTTATCGTAGGATATTCTACTATTGAATTACATCATTTACATTCAATATGCAAATTTTAAAGGAAAGTAGTTCACCTATAATAAAGTTTTAAAATGACTATATTTCTTAAAAATGTTTTGTTACCATTGAAACCGTCTAAGATCATTATAATAAATCAAGATGTAGTTACATATAAATAAAAATAATATATTTGTAATATCCCAATGAGTAGAAAATAAGATTTTCTGACGTTTCGTGACTTAGTGTAAGCCACTTCGTCAGAGAATAAATAATCAAATTAAAATTAATCCAAGTTACATATTATGAAAATTTATTATTTATTTGGTACAGGGTTGTGGAGATTGTTGAGTTTTTAACTAAAATCTTTAACCGATCAAAGTTAGACCACAATTGAAATCTTGAAACCCTTGTGTCATGTATGAAGTAGTTACCTACCGAAGACACTGTAAAATGGTCATGAAATATTATGAATTTATTGCTTATTCATTTATTTCAGTCAATAACATGTCATGTTGCTTATTCAAAACACTTGAAAGTAATCAAACATTAATCCAAACGATAAATTTTAAAGTCCAATTATATACAACAATAAACTTTTTCACTTAGATTACTGATTATATTGTACAAATTGATTAGAGATTGTTTACTCTTTCATGATGACAAAATAAAATCAATATCATTTCATTTGACGATTCATTTATGGTGTTTAACATTCTATATGAACTTCAGTTACTATCAAAACAATACATTACTTATATTTTTAACTGGTTACATGAAGAATAAGTTATTTGATACTTGCTAAATAAATACGAACCACTATTTATGAATGCTTCTCGTAACGACAATTAACAGATGATGAGAATTACACGCATTATAATATTATATCTACTACCTCCTTCAATATATCAGCATCATGAGTAATGTTTAGTAGTTACATTCCACAGCTTAGTCAATAGATTATAATAAAGAAATTGACTTTTTTTAAAAAAAACACGACACGGTAATAATCACAAGTAATTTTCTTTTAAAAATTCATATGAAATGGAAAAAAGACAACAAAAGTCCCAATTAAGAATTAAGGAGTAGAGATTATAAAAACAGTATGTATTGAAAAGTAATTAATAAAATTGTTTGAGAGAAATTCCCCTTATTTTGATGCCAACTAATCTTTGTGAAATTACTAATTATTATAAAACTAAAATCATTTTGATAATCGAATATTATATCATGATAGTATGTCATGAAGAAGGTTTTTTTTTTCACAGAAGGAAGCCAAACTTCAGATGGAATTGATTCAGAGAAAAAATCTGTTCATGCCATCATCATCATCATCATCATCATCATCATCATCATCATCATCATCATCATCATCATCATCATCATCATCATCATCATCATCATCATCATCATCATCATCATCATCATCATCATCATCATCATCATCATCATCATCATCATCATCATCATCATCATCATCATCATCATCATCATCATCATCATCATCATCATCATCATCATCATCATCATCATCATCATCATCATCATCATCATCATCATCATCATCATCATCATCATCATCATCATCATCATCATCATCATCAAGTAATCATATTTATTTTTTCAAAAAAGAGGGGTGAATATGATTTATACATTCTACATCTAACAAACTACATCAAAGAGCTATCTTTTATCAAATGTGTCTTATATTTGGCTTTTATAGATATTTATTGAATAAATGAAAAGATCGTTGACATTAAACAGGAGAGGATAGAGAAATAAAAAGTTATTAAATGTCACAAGTTAACGGTTATAATTCAACTAGATTTTCATTCAGTTATATCAGATAAGTAGTTTTACGATTCTCGAAATACAATTTCTCTTATTTTCCTTTTCTAAATGAAAATTCGCACACCAGTGGAGTAGTTACTATAATGTCAGTTTTGTTTTAGATTTCTCAAATCAATTTCACTTAGTAGTTTAAATCATCAACTTTTAATTAATAAGATACAAATTTGAAATTATTTATATCTTCTTCAATCTGAGTAGTTAGTAGTCTCTTTGATATTTAAAAAGTGTTTGGATTAAATAAGATTAGACTAACGTCCAACTATTTACTGGATAAAATCTACTTATTGATTATCAACTATGACCGTCTAAGCATATAGTAGTATCATTGATTTATAACCAATGAAATAGTCAGTAAGATATACAAACTGAATGAAGAAATCATTTTTCTCATTTATTTGCATTATTCCATCATTTATAATAATTTGATTCTATGTTAATGTAAAGTAAAGAGTTCATAACTGAACCAGTGGGTTAACTATTGTTACACTGACAAGTAAATATATCCAAAAGTTTAAGCCCTCTCTGCGACACCTAAAAGTCTAGGGTTTAATACACATGGAATTGCTGGATGAACACTGAAGTTAAATGTGCTATGTCCACGTTGTGCTATTATATGTACTTAAATACGAGGAACCACTGCAACTCCTACGAAGCGAAATGAGAACATAAAAGATTGATACAAGTGAAGATATTTTCGCTCTAAAAACAAGGTGATCTTAGCGGAAAATACACTCGTTTAAACATTGATTTGTACAATTATTAAGTCAGTCATGTAAAACCTTCATTTCAGAAATCTCCACAACGTCCTATAATAATACATAAGATACTTATTTGTATTTCCAATATTTAAACAAAAAATTGTTCATTATCAAATATTCCTTTCCATTAAATGGGACTAAATAATAGCAAGTGTCTCTGTCTTATAATCAAGTCATAAGATAATCAAGAAATCTAAGAAATAAGAATACATATGTATTTCGAAAGAACATGCTATGTTAGTTACTAAACAAACACATTCTTTCTCCCCTAAATAGTTGCATCATTTAAATTCTATAAAACTATAGATGAATGTTTCGGTAATAAACGTGAAGATCTAATTGATGAAGTACGCTGTTTGTTGTTCAGATATTTTGTAGTGTTATTTTTAATATAAAAATATACAACTAGCTTGCCAAAAACTTACTAATTGGAAATTCGTTTATTTACATTTAAACAAATTCAGTAGGATTAATTGAGTTCATAAACGATTGTCTTGGTGTTGCCAGTATATACAGCGGAATTAGTTTTCCTAGTAGTAGAATGATCGATAAATTCAAAAAAACTGTTTTTTAATTAGTTGCTTAGATGGGTGAATATTTCAGTGTGTTACTGTCTTCATTAAATGTTAAATGCAGTTCCAAATACGTACTAGTTTAATGAGTGATAGCATCTACGTATCTCTCAGTAAGTATTTAGTTATCCACGGTTTTATGACATTACCATCAGGATGGATCTACATCAACTTGTTTCAATTCCATAAGGCATGTGAAAAGATAAACGATGTCGTGGTGTACAACGCAAATCTTAGAAAATCATATAGTTTTGAGTAATTATAGATAATGAGAAGCAGCGGATTTAAATTCCTTAATTCTATAACTCTTCAGTAATACCACCCTGTGGTCTTAAAGAAGCTGATACCTCTAGTTGAGTTCTAGCTTACGTCATCAAGATTTACAAAGATGTTATTAGTAAGCAACTCATCTCATGAATGATCTGTTGTGGATTTGAAATTTTCAAGCTAATCAGTCATTCCATAACCACGAGTTTGTGTAGCTATCAGAATCAATAAATGGATATTGTACAGATTGATTAAGTAACTGTTCAAAAATTTGTCGTCGTGTTCTGAATTTCGGACTCCATTTTCGGTTGTTCTTTACATGATCATCCTATTATTCCGTTTAGTTTTCCAAAGATTGGTTGACTTAACATAAATAACACGATTTTTCGAGTGTAAAGCATAACTAATGACCAACAAGTTCTCTGTTGAATTTAGAGGTAGTTGGAATTTCTGTCATCAACAGTTCAGTGCAGAAAGAAAAATTCAGTCGTCAATCACTTTAGGTAAAACAATATCTGTAATGTTAATCACATTTGACTGAACGCCTAGTAATCCTCGTCTAAAGTATAAAATACCGTAATCCTAACGTCGGAAAGCATATTTTTTTTTGAAGAACGGATTAATAAAATAAATTCAACATTTTAGTAGCAGTATAATTTGTGATCCTAAAAATGAACGACTTTTCTGTAGTTATATTATACTTGGTCATTGTCTTGATGGTGTTTATCAGAAGAGATTAATTGAATTTTTTCAGTCAACTAACAATTAGTTGTTTCTACTGGTTTCTACTTTCCCATTGTTGACATTTAGGACAGTATTCTGTCGGTCTGTTTTCTTACAAACTTCTTGAACAAACCCATATTTACTATAATAAAATAGTGTTTCATAACAGTAGCTATCAGCTGACGAATATAACGTTTGATCATTTAAAAGATTAAGATCATTATTACATTATGGTGAAAAGAATTTAAGGGATTTGTTAAAAACAATTAAAATATTTCATATCTCAGTCAATCGATTAAAATAATGTGAAGGTATTATATACAAATTATGTTCTTCAAAATGTAAAACGTGTGCAGTGAACAAGTCAGATGGTTGACGTTTACACACAAAAAAACACCATAGGTTAGAACAAACTACTTATTTTGCAATCCAAAAACTATTAAAAATCACATATTTGTAAAACAGATTGAATTTAAAAGTAGTAGATTGACTAAAGCTTAATATACTGTACTGAATTGCAAAATTTAGATAAATGATATTTAGTGTCAAAATTTTTAATTACATCTATTGAAAATGTAATTCTTGACTAAATTACATAAAACAGACTTGATTACTAGTTCATGATGTGTAAATATGTATGATGAATGAAGGAAATAATTGACATTTGCCAATTTCAAATTGTACAGTCGTTTATTGAGAAGAGAGAAGACTGACATGACTTAAGTACGTATATGTATATATGTTTGTAGTGAGGTTTATCACAATATATAAAGAAGGAGCAAATCTATTAAAAGAAGTATCTCATCTTCAAATACAACTATATAATTCAATATAACTTATTTATCAATGATAAGACAAATTAAACAATTTCTTTATCTAGATTCCAACAACATTATTATCAGACAATAAAATAATATGAAATCGGGGAATTGATTTTTTTTATTTATTTATCTTGCCATAACTACTGACACAATTGATTTCCTTTTTATAGTTCATTTCAGTCAAATAGTATTTAACTATTTTTATCATTTATTTTGGCAGGCTAGTTAGATTTTGCTTACTACAATTTGTTATATATATATATATACTATTATAGTCCATATACAGCCCAAAATGAAAACAAACACTATGAAGTCATCATTGTATTTATTTCAATTGTAATAGAAAACATTGTAATGTATCGGTAAGTAAACATTTTTTTGTATAAAGCTTGTTTACATGTATATATTACTTTGAAAAGGTTAAATTAAGTACTCAATATAAGACTTGTTTCTTTTGATGTAAATCTAATAAGACTGAAATACAAGAGAATGCTTGGATATTATGAAAATATAACTAAATTCCATAAATGGTTTTTGTTAAATAATCCACTTTAATAAATATAACATGGTTTACTTATTTACCTTATAAAATATTTCAGACTATGAATGTGTAAAGTTCTTAAGGTATATAATTAGTTACATAAATAATATGACATTTATTGAATAGTATCTTACCTATCATGACTCTGATTTATTCACGTACCCGCTTGATGCATTTATTTTTGACATTTAGAATTATTATAGGGTTGGAAATTTCTATTTGATCTCCTTTTTTAGAAAGAGATTTAAGCATAATATCTTGAATATTCTTAATTTAAACATTGTAACAAACAGAATAGTAATCATTTAATTGAAGCCATCAATATTAAAGGGTCATCTTTGAAACGTTTTTCAAAAGTCTAATTCATGATTTAAGAAAAATAAAAGCTTTATTAAACTTGTCATGGAAACAATGAAAAAAAGTAGGAAATTAGCGTACATGTAATAGTTGAGTGTTAGGAACTATTAGTTAACTATTCAGTGTATTAAGTGAAAAAAATTCGGGATAATAAAACAAATTGAGAAACCATTTTTAAGTTGTATTTGCTTCTTTACGTGTCAGTTACCAGTAAACATTATCCTCTTAATTATTATATTTTGTTGAACTAGCTTAGATCGATCATTTTAGGATAAAACTTTGAAGTAACACACTGTTAATATTTATAAGCTTTATGTTAACTCCTACTTATTTAAATTTAGATAGATTTAACCAATCGATATGTGTAAGAATTGTAATTATACGTGCTTGTTAACAGATTACTCCTAAGAGATTCTTGTTTATAAATCCAATTCAGTGCTTTACCGATAAATATTTACTAATATATATAGTGAGGTCTAGGTTGTAATACGTTATTTAGGTAATGCTTGGAGCCTGAAACATAGACATCGCGATATCCAATATTCGTTGTGAATATATATATATATATAATATATATATATATATATATATATATATATATATATATATATATATATATATATATATATATATATATATATATATTCTGAAGTCCCTATTCCTCTGGATATAATTGTTCGAAGTGTTTATTGTCTCCTTTTTCTTCAAAGTCACAAATCTTCCTGTGTTGTGGTGTATGCTTCTGATTTT